TTATATATTATATAATATTATTTTATTATTAATATAATATTATACTGTTATTAATATAATATAATATTATTAAAATGTTAATATTATGTTATTACTAGTATATTATTATAAAATTAACATATTATAAATATTTTAATATTATATAATATATTATAGTTTCTCAGAATACTTTACTAATATATTAATAATTTATGATATAAATAGATATTATTATATTATGGATATATTATTTTTACATTAACATTTTTTAGCAATAAAAATTAATTTAGTATTAAAAATAATTTTACGTTGCTTATACTCTGCATATAGGTGAGTATATGAGGTCGTTGTGGTATTATGAAATAGACGAGTCTTCAACAGATCCGAGCAACAACAACATCGTCTATAAATTAACACCACGACGTTGCCTTCAAGTGAAAAGAACATGGCTGCAGTAGCAACCTCATTCCCTGAAATCACAACTTCTTGGATTAATTTTAAATGAGAACCCAGCAACACGAGAACATGATTATTACTGTTCTAACCCAGACGTAGATTAAACAGCAAATTTTTTATAGCGCAGCAAATTCTCAAACATAACAGGGAGTTGCTCTTGAAAACACAAACCCTCGGCTTCAATTTCTCCCAAACAGTTAACAATTAAAAGCATAGCACCAAGCTAAAATAAAAAAAAAGGAGATCGAGTAACGTGATCCTTAACATTTGCTATACACAAAAGTTGCGGCTGCTTCATCAGTCAGGCAAAAGGCCGAAGCAATAACTTTACCTCTTCCTCTTCCCTCCCCTCCCTGAACTCTGACCACCTTTCTCAGATGAACCTGATGCTCTCGATTTATTTGCAGGCGCCTTTTTGGCCTTTGATTTCCCATCCGTTTTTAAATCAAGCTGCACTTGGATCCCTGATCAATAGGAATACAAACATTTAGCATTATGAACTGCGACACTTTGCTGTACACACAATGCTACTAAATAATGCAAGAAATAAGATTAACCGGACCTTTTGATTTATCACTCTGGAGGTCCAGCTTTGGCTCTGCCTCCCCAGAGATCTCATCTGGAAGCATCATAGATACAAGTGAGATCCATACTAGGATATACTTGGTAAAAGGGTATATAAAAAAAGACAGACTACATAACATCTATTTTAACAATTCCGAGTTGAGCATAGAGTACAGAGGAATACATGAAACAAAGCTATCACAGTCTGAAACAGTTATGTATACAAGATTATGCATATTTTTTGTTACTACTAGATCATCAAACTGTAAAACACCAGGAAGTTTTTTCTTTTTTCCCCCTTTACTTCTCAGTGGAACTGCCTGCCTCTTTAGTTGAGCATAGAGTCTCGTACTTGAATAAAAGGGGATTTTGCTTACATACCCCTCAAACCTTTGATACGTGCAAGATACCCCTCAAATCTTGGTATTTGCAAAATTACTCCTCAAAACTAACATATTGGGTCTTTTTACCGCTCCAACTTAAGAATATTGTTTTTAAACAACGCGATGTCAAAATTTGCAATAATTTCCAAGAAGTTTGCAACAGTTTTCTGTTTAGAAACTAAAAAAGTTTGCAACAGTTCTCTGTTTAAAAGCTAAAATTCTTAAGTGTAAGAGTAGAAAAAATCAATGTGAGAGAATTGGGGGCAGTTTTACAAAGACCAAGATTTGCAGGGTAATTTTGCAAATATTGATTATTTGAGAGGTATATATGCAATAGCCCTTAATAAAATTGTGTGGAAGGGATACTAGTCAAATCTCAAGTTCCAAATGAAGTATGAATATGATAGGATGTAATTGGAAACACCCATTTTTGTCCGGTATCAGCGTTAGTGCGATGCGAAGTTCCCTTCCACTATTAAGCATGTTTAAGCATACGGACAATCTTCCAAACTCAGGATTTCAAGCATAACTTCTAAGGGGGGAAAATGGAGTTACGTTTGATACTCACCAGCCTCAGAAGAATTCTCTTCATCACTTTCAACCAAACCATTTCCATTTTCTTCTGGCAAACCACTGTCAACTGCATCCACTGGCTCCAAAATTGCAGCGATCCTCTTTTTGGGAGCCTTCTTGATACCCGGGAGATTGATCAAATCCGGAGCCCTTACGACACGAGTTTTGCTAGCTTCCTTGTATTCCCTAGTCAATGCTGCTTTAAGTGTAGGTTGAATGCCTTCCAATGGGTTCGGATGTGTCTACAGACAGATGGCATCACATGAGTAATGAATTATAGAACTATGCAGAAATCAACAACAAAATGGTAGTTCCTGGTAATTCGAAATAGGTTTCGATAAGAGTTAACTAAATTTGCTGCGCTATGGAAATATCCTAACAGCTATCGAAGCTGTACTGGAAAGGGGTTACAGGAACAAACCTCTATGAGAAATATTAGGGTCAGCTCAAATTTTAAGTCAAACCTTAAGGTACATCCAAAGCCAAATTTCAGTAGACATCCATCTGTAAACTAAACCCGTAAACCATCAAACCCGGCATAAGAAGTGGGACTATGAGGAAACAAACATGAATGCTATTGATATGCTACAAATTAGTAAGGTCTCATAGTCTACTGATGAGTAAAATATGCAATACTTTCCATTATTTCTTGAGTGCTTGGTATAACTCAAAAAAACTCCCCCAAGTACAAAACCAACAGAATAAGGCAAAAAGCAACAACTTCTAAACACCTATGATCTGCTTGCGCAACACAGCGCAAACAGTGGACTCTAAATGTATACCTGAGCAAGGATGGAGACACTGGGTTACGATTAACAACGAAAAGAAATTAAAGCAAAAGCGATTGGCACATGATGAATGTCAGACCATACGGAAATAATAAGCAGGTTTTGCTACTAGTATCATGAATCATGAAGAGAGGGCATGAAGAGAGGGTTTGACTCTACATTAGGATATTAAATTATCAAAAAAAATGCAGCGAAGGGAGCAATTATAAACTTTTTTGCTTGAGCATAAACAGTTTTGATGTCATAAATTATATTTGAGAATGGACTCTTCGCTTGGATGCACACTATATTTTTGCAGTTTTTCCTGGAAAACCCCTCCAGATGGGTAGAGAACATACATACAAATATGCAAGTCTCAATATCCAAAGCCCCTCCGAAGAAAGAATTAGTTAAAGTCAGAATTTTTTCAGAAACATTATCTAACAACATAGGTAGAAAGCCTGCAAACTGGCAATAAAAAAAGGGGCCAAAAAAAGAAATACGCCAACCTTGAACTTGGATAGCTCCATAATTGTATCAAAGTCCTCTTGACTTAAAGAATAGGCATTCATGAACTCCACAACCTTCTGAACAGCAGTATCCTGACATTGATTTCACATATAGACATGAATATTTTGATCTTCTCATAATAACAATCCCAATACGAAACTAACAAGAGGTGACCGGACCTTAGGCATTACTCTAAGAGGCTCTGTCAGTTGTTTTAGCAGAAGAGTGAAGTAGTCAATCCGCAAAGTCACCCTGTCACATTTAAAACATGAAATCACATCTTAAAAGTGAGGAGTAAATTCTTATTGACTCATGAAATTTACCAACTAAAAAGACGGCTAGATCACGCGGATTTTACTACTTAACTGGTGTCTCAACTGTAAGCAATATATATAAAAAATCAAATAACATGCAAGAGTTGTAACCCAATCCAAAAACCAAGTGGAAGTGCAATGTCCTTGGACCTAAGCCCCTTTCATGGTCTAACGTGTCATTAGAGTCACTGTTTGGAACCAATCGCTTTGGCACATCACCCATCCTTTTCTTCAACTTAAGGCTTTACACCTTTACCAAAAAATATTATATTCCAAACTCCTCAAATGTAATAAAGTATGTTGTGTTCTTTTTTCCAAGGAAAACTTCAACATGAGAGGATATAATACTGTATCCCACAACTACACTCTGATTGTGAGGGAACACTATCAAAGAAGTTATTTCACATATAAAAAAGTGGATAGATAAACTACAGTTACCAACTATCTCACTCTCATGTTTAATGTACCTAGCAAAGATTCTATTTTGTTATCTGTCCATCTCAAATTGTTGATATATGCACAGCGGAGATGGATTTCATTTCTCAGGCTCAAATGCACGTCTCATGCTGGCCCCAGTCTTACAAATTACCTCCGATTTATAAATTAAACATTCATTATCATGTCTTTCATGTAACGTACTGCCGAACTTCCATCTCAAGAGCCTCTCTCAACTTATCTGTTTCATTCATTTCAGGCAATGTTTTTTCTTACTATCCCAAACTTTAGAATCTTAAATCCATAAAATTTAATTTTTTCCCCCCAACAAGTCTACAGTCGAATAAACTCAACTGAAATGACCAATATCTCATCTCACAACCATAAAGACACAAATTGAGATCAAAATAGAAATTGCAGAAAAAAATGGATATTGGTGATAAGAAAGTTACTGTGTAGGTAGAGGAACGTGGTGATATATGAAATCATAGAGGAGACATAACAGCAGGTTTACATTTATATGCTACAAAATACACTGTTATAAATGGGATGAGCATTACCCTTTCACTTGAAGCCTTAAAGGTTTCATTTAATCTAAGAATCTTCAGGAAATGGCCATTTTCTTAAAAATAACTAGATATAAACATATGAAACAGAGATATTTACTTATAAGGTTACAAAGAAATTAGAGGGCTTCCAAAATGAATAATAGAGTTCAAGTTTTCAACAATCTATGCAATTCAGGTTCTTCAATCTGAGATGTTCTCCTGTATCTGACTTGTGGACTTAACCATGATTAATCACATGAAAATATGCATCATCTATAAAGGATAACACCACAAAGTATTCCAAACAAAATTAGATTGATAAGAAATCAAATCTTTTTTCTTGATCCAGCAATACAATAAAGCAATAAAATTATAGCATGGAAAATGAGCAAGGATGTAACTAACATGAGAAAGATTTTGGCAATAGAGGATGATTTTAAGTAGATTAGAAATATGTTCAACCTGTCAATGTTAGATGCTTGGGAAGCAAGGATATGTACATGGGCATCCTCCAACAGCCTCAAATTCTTTCCCATTGTTGAATTCTTTCCTAACCATCCACCAAATCTGTTATAATTAGGCCCTCCCTGTGTAACCAGGCAGATGGGGTCAAGATCTCTAAAATAACACAGATTTAAGAATTGATTAAGAAAACACTGAATACAACATATAAAAAACATAAAGAACTAGCATTGCATTTATAATAAGTACTAGAATTAGGAAAAGGATGTTAGGTTGGAAGTAATGAAAAAAAAAATCATATATTTTACTTATGGACAGTCGAATATTTTCTGGAACTTTTACAACATCACACAATATGTTAAATACTGCAAGTAGCTTCAGTAACCAGCAATTTATCTCCATTATTCCCCCCACTTAAGCAATCAGCACATGAGAATATTCCACGTGACACACTCTAAGGTGCTATTAATAACAGGACAAAAGAGGAACTTCTCTGGTAATTTTAGTTTCTCAAGTTGCAAAGCTGCAGTATTATAAGATAGGAGATGACATGAAAAGCACAGAAAAATGGTATTTGAGATGCCACAAAATGAGACCAAAACATTTTGCAGACATTTCTGTCAATATGTACTGCAGGAAGCAAAGTATTAGAAACATTTTGATATAGAGTGCTTCATTGCCTCTCTCTCTCCTCATTTTGCAGACATTTCTATCAATATTGGTGCAGGAAGCAAAGTATTAAAAACATTTTGATATAGAAGAGTTATGTTTCCAAATTAAGGAATAATACTCCTCTTGCTCGACTTCAACCGAAGGAGCGCCGAGGATCTCCGCTGACCATTCAGTGATCACAAATTTACTTCTCCACCAGATGTTTGGTGCAGAGACTTCAATACTGATGGCAAACCCAATCTTATGTTAGAAATAGAATATCTATTCGATTTTGCTTACCCGGTAGTAAAGCTTGTAAACCCATTGTTTTTTGTTAAGGCTTTGAACGATCCCAAATTCCATCAATAAAACATTTGTAGTCAGCTGCTGACTACAGAATCCACATTTCTGGAGACAGCAGCATCAAAGAAGCAACTGCCAGCAAGGTGGAAGGGGCAGAAAGTGGAGCCCTGACCCTAACTTCCATGGTTCACTCCACACCTCCTACAGGTCACTGCCATCCCCTGAAGCACCTATCACTCAAGCTGGTTGCATTGGTGTGCCTGTAGCTTCAATGAGACATCAGGAACATATCGATCCAGCTCACATTTTTAAAGTTTTCGAGGCGTACTACTTAGCTCACTGTCAGAGGGTGATCTCCTTTTGTTCTATCATCATTGAACCATGTTCGCTCCTTGAGGAGAAGTTTAGGAGGCTTTTATCTGTGCCCTTGAACAAACTTCACGTAACAGAAGTACCCAAGCCCTCATACCATCTTATTCCTTTGCAGGTGGTAATACATTCATGGATGGAACAGATGAGGAAACCTCCAATTCAACTATAGATAAGATGTAACTTCCAACAGCTTTTGAATCCCCTGACTTTTTTTTGTTGTCTCCTATCAATCATTATATTTTGTTCTCGAAGCTAAGCTAATTATATCGCCAGTATCAGAGATTTGGCACAAATATCTGCTGATGCATATCAGCATTCAGTTCTTTAACATCATTTAACATAAACTAATTGATCAGATTGTTTGATTGACAATTTCAGTGACAATGATCATGATTGTGGCTTTTTATTCTTTAAGTTTTGTCTAGTGTCACTAGAGATCCCGACAAGTGCTCATATACTTTATGCCCAAAACTAAAAGCAATAGCTTTTATGAACTCTTTCCTGGCACCCTTCCCTCCCTGAGACATGATATCATTGGTCGTAAAAGTTCTAAATTTTGAACTTTGGGAGGGAATTCAAATTAAATGGCAATCCATATCACACCAGTAACTACACTCAGACAAATTAATTAATGTCGCTCGCAAAAGGTGTTGAGTGCTAGCATAATTGCCATTGAAAGCTAAATTGGAACCAAACAAATAGATCTAATAGTATGAGTCGACCATCTTTAACATGAGGGGTCTCAAAGTAACTTCACGCAAAATAATTGTAATGAAGTAGAATCTGGATGTGGATATCAGAATTTCCAACAAGAAACCTCATAAATTGCAACATTATAAGCAAAACTGAAAAATGAAAGCACTCCAAAACGTACTTTGTCTGCAGGCTTACATGTACAGGTGGATATTTTACAAGGTTTCTATTAATCTATCCCTGATTTAATAAAACTGCCCATGCTATAGGAGGCATAAACATAAAGAATGTTTCCCTATTCTTATTCAGAAAAATTTCTTGGGAAGCAATCTAAATTTTCTAAAAGAAACTGCATAAACAGAGGAAAGTATGAAGATAGAAAACAATGGAGAATCAATGAAGATAGAAATAGATGGAGTTAACATATCAACGACATTCTAATCCTAATATGAAACAAGATGACATAAGAAACAATATAGGTGAAGACTCTTATGTTGTCTGTCTAAATACAATTTAGAGCATGCACTAAATACCTGCTCAAGCATCTCCCTGTTGCCATGCATCAACGCAGCCCTGATGCATTGATAAAAGGGGAACACAGGAACTAAGTTACTTACTCTCTACAGCAAGTTTTAAAGTAAAAAAATTATTGTGTTTATAGAGGTAACATACGGAATAATACAAGAAGCAAGTGAACCCGCTTGGGATAACTGCCACTGCCTATATCTTCGGATCTGCACGTTGACTATGTCTCCATCTGCAATAGACTCCGCAGTCTGAGCAAGCAAATTCAACCTCTTCACACCATTTTCATCCTTCCCAGCAGAAACTGGTCGATAATTGATATAGTTTTCCTACAATTAGAAAAATAAGAAGAGAAAGAGAAATACCAACAATTAAATTGTATAATGAAGTTAACTTCCAAGACAACATGTAAAACAAACTAGAAACTTTATCCAATTAGAATCAGATATTGTAAAAAAAATCAAAGTGCACAGCCAATTGTGACTGCTGCTAGTGTGGACAACTCAATAAAATTCCAATTAATTAGAATAAGCACGCAACTAGGAAAATTATGTTTATTATTTTGTATATGAATGCATATTTTCTAAAATAGATACATACGACAAGGAAATTTGATGATTTATATGTGCATTGTGTGCACCCAAGATTTGCTACTAGAAGTAGGAGCATTTACCAGACAAAGTCGATTAGTTTTAAATATTTCACACAAACAAATCATTTGACTATGTCAATTGCATACAAATGCATGCACATATATGCATGTAGAGATATACACACAAGCATACATGTATGATGTACCCATAAAAATATTCATTGGAACATACATAAAATAAATACACATGCATGCACATGTATATCCATGTCGGAACAGATTAAATGCTCCTTGAACACAAGTATAAATCTACTTACCTACAATGGCACATGCTAAGATAAAAAATGATAATGCACTTCATTCATTTTGATACGCGTTTTGAATGCTATAAAGAAAAGAAGTGCATTTTGAAGGCCATCTTTCATGCATTAAGTGGCTACAAAATGCACCATTCTCAAAAATATAAATTAAAAAAAAAAATCTCATGATTTAAATCACAAGTTTTAAACACATGATTATTTATAAATAGATATTTACAACATATAGATTATAGATTATGATGAATGGAAGAGATTGTACATTAATATCCCAAGTCATGGATCATGAGGCCTCGCTAATAATATTAATTAAAAAAATAATTCTCTAATCATTTGATGCAAGGAAGTAAAAGCAAACAGCTCGTTAAATGTTAATTATATTATTTTAAAAAAAGATCATTTTCTAATAGCTCAATGCAAGGAAGGAGGAAACAAAGATGTATTTAGAATTTGAATCATGCCAGAATTCTTTAAGGATCAAATTGTTCGCCCATCTTTATAAAATGAATCTCATTTTATCTTGTCTAGTGATAATGTTTGTATGCAAGCTTTGCACCATTTATACTTCAAAGAACATGTATCTGATACCTTAACACTACAGTCATACATAAATATTTATTTGATATTTATTTGAAATATCTAAATTTTGTAACATATTCTAGAGGTTTTGGAGACATGTTAGATGTCTCTAAGACTAAAAAGTTTAAGAAAAGAAAAGAAAAGTAAGACTGATTACTTCTGGATTCTTTCAACATATGGATGCATTGCTCATATAGTTTGTCCAATTTCTTAATAAGAATTATAGTTGTTCATGTAACTAGTTATAGAAAAAGCACATACATACACGCACGCGCACTGCACGCGCCCCCGCGCACATGCACAGATGCGCACACAGATACAGAATAATGAATGATGTATATCCTTATCTTATGAGGGGATTCCCTCATATGACAATGATGTGGCACAATCTCCACCAAGCGAATAAAGGAGAGAAACTCTCATAACTATAATTACACTTGATTTTGATGCGGCCACATCATCGTATATGAGGGAATTTCCTCAGATGTCATTGTAGGTTATCTAAAAAATTATTGCAGATAGCTGATCCCCATCGAATACCAGCAACGGAAGTTACAACCTAACGGTTTTCATATCAACAACTTGGCGAAGAGAGTTACAATCAGACGACTTTCATGTCAACAAATAAATGTTACAATTAGAAGATTTTTCACGTAGATCGAAAAAAATTATAATTTGACGACCTTCACAACAACCGATGAAAGCTCTAATTCAATAGTCTTCATAATCAACAGCGAGAGTTACAATCTAACTCCCACATTTCAAGGACCTCAAGCAAAGATTACAAAACAACAGTCTTCGCAACGCTTCGATAAAAGAGATTACAAATCAACAATTTCTTCAATTTAAAACACAGAGTTCACCTCTGCGTTTCAGATTCAAAACGTGGTGCGACCACTGCGTTTCTAGCCATCAGCGCAGAGATCAACTCTGCGTCCCAATCTTCAGACACAGAGTCCATGCCAGAACGCTAGATCAGCGTTTGACTCATTCAAACACACCCGAACGGTTTCAGAACCGTTTTTGCACGATTTGAGGGGATCACGCCCCCATTATGGAGTGATTTAAGGGGGCGATTACACCCCTTAATCCCTTATAAATAGCTTAAAAAATCAGCTTAAAAGAGCTTTTTTTAGATCTTCAAATTTAGGGGGGCTCTTTTGGGATCTTGGAACACTTTTGCATCTTGGAGAGATCGACATTCACCCTTGAAGATCTAGGATCATTCCTCGGCAACAGAGATCTTTAGAGCTTTTCTTCATCTTTGGTTGTAAACCGATTTCGATTAAGTCAAATTAACTCTTTCAATGAGTTTTCAACTCGCTCTGAGTTCTTTAACTCGTTAAGAGTTTCACACTTGCAACACAAGTTCTCCTCAACGTCAACCGAGAGGAAGATATCGTGTTACACGAGGTAAAGTGTTCGGATCGTCAATGGGATACAAGGATCTGAACTCCCATCGACACCAAGAAGAACCCAGGTTAAACAAATGAAAGGGTCTCCGTCAATGTTTTAAATATCGGATATCGGAAAAATATCGGATGGCCAAAATTCATATCGGATTGCGGATATCGGGGAAATATCGGGGATATGTGGTAAATATCGGAATGTCATAATGAATGTTTGCATACATAGTATAATGCATTAAAATGTAATCTCAACATATGTAATGAAATTTAAGCATACAAAATATGAATAATATATGTTTAGGATCACTAATAAACCTTCTAAAACAAACAAAAGTGCAAAGCAACGTTGCAACATTCGATCTGTTTTTTTAGGGCAAAAAATCATTTGATATAATGGGGAAATCTTGATATCTCGCCCAAAAATTCCAAACACGGCATATTATTTTGCAACAAGCTATATAAAAAGATATATTGGTCCACATATCGGCTAATATATCGGCCATATCGGGGATTTATCACTCAAAATAGCCAAAAAGCGGTGAAGGATATTTAAAGACCATATCGGTTGCGGCAAGCACTGTAAAAGGATATATCGGGGGATATATCGGGCCATGTCGGGGATATTTAAAACAATGGTCTCCGTCGATCTCTTCTCTCTTTTGTAAATCGGGAAACCGATTGAGAGGAATTATAATTTCTTTTTCTAACAAACTAAGTTTGTTAGAGAGAGATTGCATTGAGAAAATTATAATTTATTCTTTTTCTAAGTCTGTTAGAGAGAATAATACAAATTCAATTCTCCATTTTCTTCTTTCAATTTTCCCACCAAACAGACATATGATACCCATACATAGATTTTTGTCATATTCATGACATACTCGTATCCTAATTTTTCAAAAATTTTCAAAATTTGTTGGATCAGCTTACATATTATACAACACAAGTATCCATGTCCATAACTCACAGTCTGACAGTGAGATGTATATAAACTGCAGACAATTCTATTGCAGATAAAAGCAGGGCCCTACAGGCTTCAGTGGATTGGATAGGCACCCCTCTTGGTGGTAAAAAAGGCTGGTTATGATCTACATGTTAAAATTTCATGCCACTATGTGAAGTTTATCCTTGTAGGTTGCTAATCATAACAAAGGCTGACAGCAACATGCAGTACACAATTTCAAAATTATGGCACCAAAAAACGTCAATATGTTAATGTGAAACTTCAACTTTAATAAATAAAAGAATTGTGAGGATTCAATTTACCTAAAATTTACAAAGTCAAAAGGGACAACACAATAAAAGACCAAACGGAAGCCGCCTGAACTAGCCACCCATATACATAAAAACAAAGGTAGAGACTAATAATTTATAAAACAAAGGTAGCCCGATTATAAAGGAAAAAAACACTCACACCACAAAAAGCAATCTGTATTACTAAGAATTTATATTGTTAAATAGAGAAATCATCATACCTCATAATCTGAGACAATTTTGTACTATAGACAAATCAATGAAATCATAAACATTACTGAAGTTAAAACTATCTGCTGATAAACCCAAAAGGTATATAGATTGATAAGAAATTTAATTCAAATTAGATAAATCATTACGCCATATTCCAAAACAGTTCTGTGAAATCAAGACGAATCATAAATGCTATGAGATGTGAAATAGAAAGTGCTCTTGATTTTATTGTAAAGAATATCACAAACCTGAATAATAAGCGGAACCAGGTCAGGATCACTCATGCTCAAATCAATCCTCTCATCCATTCGTAACTTTCCTCCATTGAATCCAAACAACCTACAGAATAGAATGTAATGTTATAGCATGTGCATCTTCTACATTACAATAGGTAAATTATGGCATGCATTGGTGATGGAGCAGATATATCCACAAGAAAACTTGAAATATAATGCATTATTGCATTGTGAAACTGACTTGCATCTAAGGTCATTCCATGTTGAATTAAATTTAGTAAGATGTTTCTTATTTTCTTCTTCTTCAACCCTTTGAATATAGCCATGAAGCAATCAGTTTAAGTGAAAAGCATCTTTCCGCCTCAGACAAAGATACATGTGCAGACCCACGTCCTAACCCAACCATGCACCCAGGCCCAACCTGCACAAGCCCACAGTGCATACGTGCGTGCACATGCACATGCACATAAATAAACCCAAACAAACCCGTGAACATGCACACAACACATGTAGGCACACATGCATCCATATTTGAACATTCACGCTCACATGCACATGAACACACATGCATGCCCACGCAAAATAGATTTTGTTTAACTAGGCAGCTGAAGATTTACACTTTTCCAATTTTTCAGTTCCAACTGGTAGATGAACATGCTAACTGTTGTAAACTGAAGTGAAGAAAGATTGCTAGCTGGAGCTATTAATTTGGAAAAATAAAAAAGGTGGAAAATACAAGTGTAGTTGGAGCTATTAATTTGAAGAAAAAAAAGGTGGAAAATACAAGTGCTGCATAGTTAAATTGAATCTAAGAATGGAAGCTTGCAAATGTTTCATCATCATCACAACTGACCTTTTTAATTACAAAAGTATAGTACATATTAAGAAAATGCTAATGAGCACGTAGGATTAGTAATTACAACTGAAAAAACTTCCCAGACTAAGGACTCACCCCATAAAAAATTAATAAGAAGATTAATTGGAGAGAGAAAATACTTGTCAACTGCTGCAAAAGGTGAAATATCTTCATCTTTTGCACTGCTTAGAAGGCGTGCTCTTATGTCATCATAGTTAATGATTGAGTGTGAAAGGCTCATGTAATGCAACTGATTTATTGCCATTCGCATATCACCATTAACTCTATCTGCAAGTTCTTCAAGCGTAATCTGTTGCGTCAACAAAGATAAAAGTGAGGAACTTTGTTTATTTAAGAACTAGCAATATAGCGTGCATACACCCAACAGCACCATCGTATGTAGAGGTAAAAATGTTAATACTTAATATATCTACTTATGATGGTAAAAAAATGAGAATAACAATATAGAAAAGCAAGCATGCAACCTTCCTTTGATACTAACAAGTAAAGAAGCTCACAACCTGGAAAAAATCAAAGACACAGAAAACAAATTCCATGCAAGGATAAACATGTATATTCTGGCATTTCCATATAGGGATAATATATGTTTGTTCCGGCAACAATGTGAAAACATAAAAATATAGACAACAAAAACAACATTTGACAGTTACATACATTATTAACTTGAAGACCTTCTGCAGTTGCAATTTGCATCAGCCTCTTTGCCATCTGCCAGTTAAAGAAAGACAAAAAAATCAGTTCTTGAACCCAAGTGCAGAAAACCGCTATACAAAAAAACCAGTATTACTTCAAACTTATGGTTAGGACACATGCACATGTGGGACATGTACACTGTCGGCCGGACACGACAAGTGTCAAAATCTATATTATATATGTATTCTCATCTGAATATGTATATTTGAGTCATACAAATATTTGTATTTGGAGTCATATATGAAAGAACAGTTTTAAGTAACAAAAGAGGAAGTGCAGGCCTTTCGAGGTAAATACTAGTTTATGCATTTTTCAGTGTTGAGTAAGGATGGACAAGCATGACGTGTCTAAATCTGTTGGACACAATTTTTTGTTGGGGGAAGTGGCCTGCAAATCGTAGCTTAAAACAGCTTGTTCGGTGTTAAAGATCAATCAATTAAACTTACAAACATCAGATAATCTTCAGCAGCTAATATTTATCAGCTTCCTAGCAAACTAATCGCACCTGACATGCTAAGTAATAATCAAAATCCAGGCATGAGATAAATAACCCAAATAAGTAAATAAATAAACATACGGAACTAGCATCATCAAGAGTAATGGCTATCATCCATAGTTAAACTATAATACATAGATGGAAAATAACAGTTGGCCTTTCAGGACTCTCTAATCAACATGCTACTCGCAAAAACTTATGTGTACTACTCCCAATCACTCAACTCCTACTCATACCTCCTCGTTGAGAATACGCAATCAAATAAATATCAGAAGACAACAGATCACAAGCTCCCCAAGACTTCTAAAAATTGTTAAGATAAAACCATTTCTAACTGGGAATATTGAACATCCATTGTGTTCATTGTCTCTGAAATGTTCTGATTGCTAAGCTTACATTGTTAGCTCAAAAATTATAAACTTAATGTTATGGGTAAAATGTTTTTGTACTTAATACCAAAGGACTAGGTTTGAAGTAAGTCATGAGTTTAAAACTCAAATCTCATTGAGTTCAACTTAAAATTCCGAAGAAATATATCACCCACTTGCATGATTTCTACATTTTTATTCCACAGTCAAAAACTAGTGGTTCTTCCTACATAACATTTTTAACAGGTTCACATGAGCCCCACCAGTTTGTCTAATTGTCTCTTTAATAGACATGCAAGTAGACAGTATCTCAGTATGTAGAGTAGTGCTAAGAATCAACAATTAAAAAGTTTTATCTTTTTTGCAGGCATATCTCTTACCCATACCAATACAAACTAGATTACTGGATGTTTACCTAAAAGGACACAAGACACTACAAAATATTCTGTGAATCGTTTTACCATTCTAAAATATATTCAATTTCCTTGTCCCTATCAAAGTTCAAATTTATACCAAGCTGACAGTAAATTCCAAAATGGGTTAACCAAAGATAGCAAGATCAGATACTAAACTTACTTTCTCTCAGCTTTTTAACAAGTATAACCGAGTTTTGAGCTCAAAACCAAGAGAATATGGGTTACTGTCCAGATATTAAAACAAGAGTAAATACCTGTTGCTTAGTAGGCTTCCTGAAATTGAGTGGTAAACAGTAGCTAACAAGACTCTTGAGCTTCTGACTATAGCGATCATTACAGATGCAAATGATAGGAACCTTAGAAACTTTTATGCTAGAAATAAGATCTGCAACTCCGCCCCTATCTCCTGCAGACATCCCATCTACCTCATCCATAATCAATACAGTTTTTTTATGCTCAGACCTGTAGTAAGTAATACTAAATATAAATCAATGACACTTTAGCAAATCACAAGGAAATTAACCTTGTCAAACGAACCATTTTTTGCTGCTACTCAAGATTTCATTGCTAATGAGCTCTTTAATTGAATTTGAAGTGCTTCCACTAACTCCTTTAAAAATTTTGTTATCAGCCTTTCCTCGACTATCACTTGCATTAACCTGCATTAAAACTGACAATTTTAACCTGGGAAGAAAAGAAAACATCACAAGGAACTGCTTGCATAAAAAACATCATACAGAAATAGAAAAGCACCTCGATTGCCTCGAATCCTAGCATTTGGCTAATCAATTTTGCTGATGTGCTTTTACCAATCCCAGGCGTTCCACTTAGCAGAACAGCTTTTTTCAATCCACTGTCATTTTGTCTTTTGCCCTTTCCTTTCTGGCCATTATGCAAAAAATGTTCATGCCAGTGTGCCAGCCAATCATGTAGTTGTTTAACCTATATAGACATAAAGATAATGAGAACTCCTAAAATAAACCAAACTTCGAAAACAAGTAGACTTAAGGCATAATTCCTTACAATAGACGGGTTGCCAATTAAGTCGTTTGGAACCTTTGGTCGGTATTTCTCAGTCCAAGTCAATGAACTACCTTCACCAATTTGTGCTTTTCTCTTGCTAAGAGAAACATTGGATGGCGCACTTTTCACTGGAGTTTTTCTTGCAGTGCCAGGTTGATCATCTGAACGAGCAATTTTCATTGCATAGAACATTCAGCATATAAGGGATGGCTTCTTGGTGACCAATGTAAAGGAAGAGTAGTTCATAATACAATATTCTTCATAACATTTTGACGTGCTGACACTTTGACTTGAAAATATATTTAAGGAGCATATGCACATATCTTGTACAAACCACAGAAAATTCTTTATGATGAAACATTTGTGTTATAAAGGACAGTGAACAGGAGGCTGCAGCTATAGTCGATACATGTAAAGATGACAATTTGGAGTTAGTAGTGGATAAAAAACGTGTGTTATCAGTGATTCAGAATAGTAAAACCCTTATAATTCCTTGGAAAGGGATTGTGGTCAGTTGTGAGGCTCCATATTGTATGATACTGGATTTGGGGTGTGGCGGTGTGCAAAATCTTACTCCATAATAAAATTAAAAAAAGTAAAAAACAATTAGGAACAAATGTATTAGAAGTTAGCTAGTTACTATATGATTTACAAATGTGTATCTGAGTATTTTATTTTTACCTGCCCATCGTGTATGAATGATATTCTTATGCAATAACTTATTTACGCACTCACACTGCTGCTGCCACCATCTAAGCTTTTTTCTTCACTAAAGTGGCACACATTCCAATATTGAAAAGGCTTCATAGAAGACTGATGAAATCTTGCAAAATACGTATAATCTTGACACCGACCATCTGGCTTGGGTGCCATATCCTGGGCCAAGAAATTATAAATAAGAGAGGGAGCCTGTCAAAGAACCTAGTGGCTTCGTGGGAGGTAGAAAATCCTATCGAGTTTGACTATGCAGTTTAATCCTAATGTGACCAAGTAGCAGTTTAAGCCTAACGTGACCACATAACGAACTTGTAACGTGTAGACTAGGAAAATGTGTAGAAGTATTGCAAACTATCACAAATATAAGAATGATCATTTCATCTATGATGCTTCCAAATGACTTATGATGTATTACTTTTGGTTGGACATACAGTGCAGGCAACTCTATATCTTACTCATGAGGAAAACTAACGTCTATCAAATTTTGTTAAGGGCTAATATCCTACTCAATCTAAAAAGAATTATGATAATCTATTTACATGCTTGATACACTCTTCAAAAACTGAAAATACAAAATCATCCAGCTTTTAAGTGAAGAATTTATCATTAGAAGCACTCTAAAGCGATGACGCAGCAAACAAGCACGGGAATGCTAGAGTCAGCGATATATCCTAGTTGGAATTCTAAGGTGATTTCCGGATATGTTGGTATGTGAGATATATCTACAGTCATGCACTCTCTATGAAAGGAATGCTGAAATCACACTTTGGCTGTAGCATCACTCTTTTGAACAATTTTAAGAGCAGAATCGCTCAATTGGTTCGCTTCTCTTTGCTCCAGCTCCAGATATATTGCGCTTCAGAGCTCAAAAGCTAATATCTTTTGAAAACTGAACCGAATGTCAGGTGTAGAAGCTTCTATAACTTTTACAAAGCCTACTGGACTTTCGCAGATTTAAGTGCAAGATGCTAACTGTGGAGTAGGTTATGCCACTGCTTCAATGATAAACCGAGCCTTCCAATAACTAATATGTGTGTGTACATTTATGCATGTATGTACATATATATTTATATAGACAGACACAATAACAAATTCAAATGCTAAATACATACCTTCGACTTTTACCTTCATAGGACTGCTCTTCATATGAGACTTGTTTGCCTTCTCTTCATGTTTCTTTGTTAGGTCTTCTTTTACTGGAGCTTTTGCAGGCTTTGATTTTCGAATCATGTCAAACAATTCATCTTCAGTTAAAAACTTGGTACTGCATGCATCAGAAGAAGTTCATAAAAACTGATAAGAAGTATTATTAAAGAGAAAAGACAGAAGAAACATAAGATCATTCATACCCCAGTTCCTTGGCTTTGGCTGATTTCTTTCCACCAATATCTTCGTCAGCTAAAAGAAAATTCTGTGAATAAACATCAACAATCATAAAGTGTAACCACTAAAATCGGGCTAAACCAAAACCAAAGATACAAAATAACCTACAGTTTTCTTGCTGACAGACCCAGTAACCCGCCCACCATGCCGTTTAATCAAATCCTCCGCTTCCTCCCGTTCCAAACTTCAAATTAACAATAGCCAAATTTAGATATTTTGTTAGCAACAATAAGAAGAAATGAACACAATTAAGGACATAAATATACTTCAATAGGTGGAACTAAAAATTTATGTGTTAAGGGTACAAAATTGACTATAACTTCGAAGTTTTAGTGCAGTGGAACGAATCTTTAAGATGTTATTAGGGCAACCCAGGTATTGCCTCTTAAAAGGACGACCCACACACTGGGGCATGTTATCAAGGTTAGGGTTAGGCATCCTTATGATATATATAGTGAAAACAGCAAGAAATCTCCATTTTTGAGAAGCAATGTTACAATGTACCTATCAAGTGTGCCGCTTATAACGAATGTAAGGCCAGCCAAGCATTCAGGAGCACCCTCCGGAACTTCCTGAACCAACATCACAAGCAAAGACAATTAAAATTTCATTCAATTTCATAGCATTGCATACAAAATAGTAAGACTACCTTCTCCCCTTTATGTGGTGGATCTTTCCTCTCCCCAAAATTCATGAACCCACCCCTCCCCCCTCCTCTTCCCCTTCCTGCAGAAGCCGCGGGACCCGCACCTGATCCTCTCCCGCCTCTGCCTCTCCCACCCGATTTTGTCGGCGTCTTTACCTCTTTCTCCTCGACTTCTTCATTGTCATCATCACTTTCATCCATAACAACAGATTTCTTTACCTCTTTCTCCTCGACTTCTTCATTGTCATCATCACTTTCATCCATAACAACAGATTTCTTCACAATTGGTTTCTTGGGCGGCTTAGCCTCTCATCATCACTTTCATCCATAACAACAGATTTCTTCACAATTGGTTTCTTGGGCGGCTTAGCCTCAACGGCCTTCTTCTTCTCGCTGGATGGCGGTTCAAAGTCGTCATCATCTTCTTCTACCTTACGGATCTTTTTCACCGGCGTGGGTTTCACATCCTCCCCACTCTTCTGTGTGGTCTTCCTCTTCGCTGGGGTATTTTTCTCAGTCATAACCTCATCTTTAACAGCTTTAGCCGCCTGTTCTTTAGAACAGTCAGAATTCGCAAAATACTTGCTGGTTTTCCTCCTCTCTTGACCTCGTTCAACCTAATTTCTCATCAAGACGATTCAATTCTCAAATCCTGAGATCAAACTACACAAACAATATAAAAGAAAAGCAAAAGGTGAGGACTTTACGGGTTTCTCGACGGCAGAAGGAGCCGAGGGTTTCTCCGGGGGCTTGGTGGGTTTGGGCGCAGCGCTGCCGTTGCCTTTGTCGTGCTGCTTAATGAACCACTTCCTTATATCCGACTACGATCAAACAAAGAAACGTAATAAATTAGGAAAAATTGCAAAAGGGAGATAATGAGAGAAACCCTAGAAACCCTAGCTTACCATCTTGAACCAGTGAGCAAAAACCCTAGAAACCCCTAGGGTTTTGGTTAGGGTTCTTCGCTTTTAGTCGACCGCTCTTAGCTCTTTTACAAATTCAATGGCAAGAATTAGAGCTGCCTGCTGCAAATCGATCGATTTAGTTTCATCGGATCGAATCCGCGCCAATGTCGATGATGTTCGAGGGAGAGGGCCCCTGAGAATTTTTGCCTCGTGGGTGGAGCCGAAGCGGGTCGGGTTTGTCCTTTGCATCCGAACTTGTGCCCAAAGCCCATTTAGCTGATGGTCCTCTTGGGGAAAAGGGTCGTTATTTTACGTAGAGGCCGAGCTTGCACCGGGGCTTGTTTATACTGGGAATAATTTAATTCATTATAATTTCCGGATATAACAATCTAATAGGTAATAGTGAGTTAAAATTTTACTAGTTTATTTAATTTAATTTGTTATTATACCTCTAATACTTATGTTATATTCAAGAGGTATAGAGTTGTAATAGCAAACACCCGAAATGTCCTTCCATTACTAGCCAAGTCTAACTGAATTTTGGCATAATTTTTAGGACATTTTGGCTATTGCTTCAAATTGGGAAGTGACAATTGTAAAAACATGTTTTTTAACTATCACAAACTTAAATATTTGTACCCTTTAATATAAAAATCTTGAATGAAAATTTTAGCACAATGTAAAATAAGTGGATATTTGTACTGATTTATTGGAAAATAAGTTTGACAAGAGTGGAATAATAATAATAAAGATTACAGAAATGTTATAAATCATCGAAGGACACATGCAATATGTAATAATGTTCTCTAGTAATATATTGTACCGATAGCTGATTTTCTTCAAAGCAAAAGAACATGTGCATGTTGATGGGGAAGGGCATAAATCCCAAAAGATAGGAAAAACACTTATAGTAAAACGATAGCTGCCATTCTCAAGAGTACACATCCATGTGCTCTACCTGATACATCCAATCCCTACCCAAGCACAGCCAGTCTACATATTTGGTACACAAGCTTCCATCCAGTCATTTTACATAATTGTTAGGGAACTTAAGAGTAATATGGTCCTTTCAAATCTAACCTCGAATGTAGGGGTGTCCATCCAGTCATTTGTTTATGTAATTTCTATAAGTATATACAATTTATTTATGTATAATATATGTATATGTGTGTGTGTATACACACACACATATATATATATTGAGTGGCATGAATATTTTGGGCTACTTAATCTAGTGGTAAAATTTAGGAATTTGGAAAGAAAGTGTTAGTTGGTCAAAATTCTAGCGTGCACAATATATATAAATTATTATATACTATATATATATTATATATATATAGTATTATATAGTGTATAGGTAGTAGTTGTGTTATGTGTTGGATTGATGTAGGATGAGGAAGAGAGAGAAGAGAGGGACGAACGAGAGAGAGAGAGATTCTTTGGTGAGATTGCGAGCCTGTGGGGCATGCTTGGGACTCGGTTTGAACTATGGGAATGATGTTGTTGAGAAGAGGTTTATTTTTGTTTTTATGGGAATTCTAGGCAAGTAAGATAGTGAGGCCGCCGCTTGAATAGAGCGAATTTGTGTGGGTGTAATGTTTTCTTTTGTTTCTATGAATCTCTATAATATATATATAAGTAATTATATATATATATATATATATATCACCACTCTAAGCATAGTATGTATTTAATATAATTATGTAATATACATTTAATGTGATTCTCTGCTCATCTCATTTATAACTTATATATTTATATATATATATATAATATATATATATATATATATATATATATATATATATAATATATATATATATATATATATATATATATATATATATATATATATATATATATACTATATGATATATATATAATATATATATATATATGAGTAATATAATAGAGTATATTATAATATGTGGCTAGAATTTTGACACACTTAACTTTCCTTATCTCAAATTCCTGAAATGTTTAAATTTTACCACTAAGATTAAGTAGCCCAAAAATATTCATGCCACTGCAAATATATATATGTGTGTGTTGGTATACAGCAGCACACATATACATATATCCTATACATAAACAAATGTAATATACTTAATAGAAATACATAAACAAATCGTGATTTTATAAAATAAATATATCACATATTACATATAATATACATATAACATATGGTACATATTATTACTAATGTATATTGACTTATAAATAGTATTTAGTATTTTAGATTTTAAAAAGAGATAAATTGAAAACTATTACTGGGCCCGGCCGGGCACGCGTCGAGGCAGCCCGGCTCGGCCGCGAACTCGACAGTTTTGGCCTGGGTTTTCTCGGGCCATTTGTCGGGCTAAATGGGGGCAGGCCTACTCGAATAAGTATAGTCCTCGGACTATCAATAATAACCTCGAACTGACCCGTTCTTTAATTAGTTCTCGAAAATCTGCTGACTAATTTTATTTCATTTTAATGTACTAAATAGTCAAGTCTAATCCATTCCAAAAATTTGAGCCAAACACCTCACTATTTTTTTTTAATGGATAAAGGTTTATTACCTTAAATTAATACCAAATCCAAACATGGCTATAAAAAAATAAAAATTAGAGGAAAAAAAATATTTCTAGCCCTCATTACTAAAAATGGAATGTGCTCCGACCCTTGACTTTTTGCTCCTAACATTTGACTTTTTCAACTTCTGCCCCCACTATAAAACCAAAATTGATTAATCCCACACATGTTGCCACATCAACAGGGATTTCAACCTTTAATTTTAATCCTCCTTATTACCTTCTTAATGGTTTATACGGCTAGAAAAAAACATCTCTCCACACCCTATCCCCCCCCCCCCTCATTACCCTTCTATATTTGTGTGAGCTAGAAGAAAAACATCTGCACGCCGCCCCGCCCTCCCTCCTTACCCTTCTATATTTGTGTGGCTAGAAGAATTGTTTTGCAAACATGCTGCACCCGCCCTCCCTCCCTCCTTACCCTTCTATATTTGTGTGGTCTAGAAGAAAAATATCTGCACCCCCCACCCCGACCCCTAAAAATAAAAATAAAAATTCAGGTGATAAAAAGAAATTACTTAGAAGAGGTATAAATGAAATGTCATATGTGAGAGTGGGAGTCGGCATTAAGGCCATGGCTTGATGGAAACATTATGGCCAAGGACTTAATGGCTTAACATCTAAGCTTACATTCTAAGTGGACGAGTTTGGGGTATTATTTGAGTATTGATGTCTCTCTAAGACAAAATATTAGTAAATAAAAGAGATACTAAGTCTCTTCAGAGCTTTAGGTCTTAATGGCTACGATTGCAACATTTATGTCTCCATGTTCATCAAGACCATATCCAATGAGGTAACGTTGTGAAAATTTATGGCAAAAAATGAAACGATGTGGGTATTAAGATTAAGGTTTGTTGCTCACTTAATTCTTAAAAGGAAGAGAGGAAAAATTTAAGGGGAGACTTAATTAAGAAGATACAGAATATGATCATAAATGCAGTGGTTACACTTAGTCTCTTTCATTATCATAGTCGTACATATACTTGGCTATCCTATTGGTAAACATGTTATGTAAATACTTGGTTACTGCTGATGTATGGAATCACACAGTCAAATAAAAAGGAGTTAATTAAGTTGGTGGAGGTCCTCTAACTCTCTGAATGTCTAGTTCTTAGGAAAACTGTTCTTCCCTGCACAGACAACAAATTGTAAGAGGGCGGGGCGTGATTCCCCAGTTGTTCCTCCGACAATCAAGTTAGTTATCTGTTTGTGTGGAGAGTAAAAGGAACTACAGTAGTTCTTAAGATCAGAGAGTGGTGGAGAAAAGCTTACCCTATAATTAAAAATAGTATCTCCTTTTATAGTAGTGGAAGGAGGGGGAGGATGGTAACTTTGGCCAGACATGGATTGGTGGCTAAGTCAGCTTCAACTTTATATGTGTCGACCAATGAGTGGAGAAGATGTCACTTCGGTATTTAATGTGAAGTGATGGGTGTGTGTGGTGTCGACGTGGTCGGGTGTGTCATAAATACTATTAAGGACAGAGGAATGATGGCGCCCATAATGCATTTAATGTCATTTATTGCGAGATGATCGGTCGTCAGTGAACAAGAGGGGGCTCAAGTCTCGAGGTGTTTCATCTCCTTTCTACTCGTCAGGTGATCGAGAAGTACCACATTTTGAGTCTTCCTCGCAAGGTGTAGGCCGATTGGTCAGCTAAGTGGAGTGGTTAAGCAGTCGACCCAGCCAGGAAATGACATGTAACGCCTTTCAGGTTATCGATAGGTAACGCCTTTCGAGTTGTCCTCGCAAGATGTTGGCGTACCGAGTCGGACGAGCTAGACCTATGATTATCTTGAGATGCTGGTTTAATTATGCATAATGTGGGATACTTATCTACCATAAATTAGAGATTACTTTCCATCACTAAAATGGCTATAACAATTGGCTCCTTCACTTGGAGTCAGCCTAGGGCGGGTCCGAGTGAAATATAACAGTTCTTGCTGAGTCATGAGAGGCATTAATGAGGGATCTAAAAAGTTCTTTCAGATGCGACGTGGCTGATGTCAGTGAATTCTTTTCAACCACTATCGCTTCATATTTCATGGAAGATTGCATGCTATTCAAGGCGAGCACCCTTTGTTTCGATGCGTGAAAATATGCTTCGAATTCTGGAATTAATCTGAGTCGTCGATTGGGGTTCAGCTCGTCCATTGAGATTCTAATAGTTATTGTATCAGTTGAATTATAATAGGGATGTCCTGGTGAGGAAGAGGTTATTGCTTTTCGAAATTTTGAATTCAAAGTTGCTAAACACTCCGATCATCTTCTCCGGTAATGATCCATAGTACTAATGGAGATATTGGCTCTCAATGCTAGGCAAGAAATGCTTGCTGAGATCCACTCGAAGGTGACGATGTCTCAACTCAGAGCTCTCCACATGAAGTACAATATTCCCCGTAGTTATAAGTTGACGGTGCCGACAAGATCATAAGTGGTTTATGCCCACGACGATAGCTAGGCCCCTCTCTATTTGAACCATCTGGAGTTCGGCCTACCTCTGCATCCCTTCCTCTACTGCGTGTTCACTGCCCTAGGGGTGTCATCGATGCAGATGAAGCCAAATGTCATTGTCATGTTGGTGGGGTACATGGTAATC